AGTTGGAGGTTGCTGTGAGCTGTGATGCCACCACACTCTACCCAGGGGGACAGCTTGAGGCTCTGTCTCAAAAAAAAAAAAAAAAAGTGAACTGGGGGCAAACGCAGGGGCCAGGCACACTACCAAGCCACTGGGTTAAGGAAGGTGATAGGAAGGGTTGAGGTCTGGAGCAAACTGGAAAAACAAGGCCTCGTCTAGAGAGGCCATACGCAGCACCAGCTGGGCCAAACTGTTGTGTTTGGTTCACCATGGCTAGTCCCTTCAGTTTTCCTAGAGAAATCAGCATTCTGGGATTTCTTAGAAATCTCCCATTCACTGTGATATATGTGAATCTGTTGGCTTTATTGCTCATCTCTGTCCCCTTTGCCTGCCAAGTTGGGACCTCAGGGTGGGTTGAGCTTGTGGATGGACAGCCCACCCAGGTCCTAGAGGGACTTAAGGTGTTGGGGGACTTGAAGCCCAGCCCATGGGGCTGACTGTACCACTGCCCTGCACCCAGCCTGGGCCTCCTGAGCTTCCTAGACCCCTAGAGAGTTGCCTCATCTGTTCTGCCTTGCTGGGCCAGCCCACTCCACATCCTGAATCCCCCTGCAGGAGCAGGAAATGTACCGCCTGTTGCCAGGTCTAACAGAGAAAAAGGAGAAAGCCTCCCTTACTTCCCCCGCCATCAGTACGCCTGCTGGGCCCCAAGAGTAGTGGGCAACACCTCCCTGGGAGGCTCACTCCACCCCACTCAGGTGGGGGACCTCACCTACCTCTTCACCCTCTCCCAGCGCTGAAGGCCACACAGGCAGAGCTGCTGGAGCTGCGGCGGAAATACGATGAGGAGGCGGCATCCAAGTAAGTGAGGTGCTTAAGGTGTGCCTCCCTTTCCCACCTGCCCTCCCTCTGACCTGTCAGACAGGCCTCCTCCTTCTGACTTTCCTCCCCTCTCTGACTCTCTGTCTGAGGCCTCCGTGTCATTAGGCACCTCTGCTGCTGACCCCCTGAGACACAGCCATCCTAGTCACTTGCTGTGCCATTCCTGCACCGGGACCCAGCAGAGCAGGTGCTGCAGGGCAGGACACCCCACCCCACCCTGACCTCACCCCATCCTCTGGGATCGCCCTCCTCCTGATTCTACACTTCAACCCTTGGGGGCTGAGTGGCACCCACCTCTGTTACTCTGGGCTCAAACTGTTTCTTTAGGCCGTAAGGCATCACTCATTCTTCAAACAGTTGTTGAGTACCTACTGTTTATCCAGGGCTGTACTGGGTCCCTGGAGGAAACATAAGAGGACCCTGTTCTTTCTCAGTGGGAGAGAAAAGACAGGCAAAAACTGATGTGGAGTGACAAATTCATTCACATACACTGTGGAGCACTTACTGTATGCCCCATGCTTTTCTTAGCACATGATCTATTCTGCGACAGGAAGAACGGGGCAGGAAGGGGGAACAGTAATGTTGGATGGATCCTTTATCCAGGCTAGTCAGGGAGGACTCCCTGAAGGAGGTAGCTTTCAGAACCTAAACAATGAAAAGCTTGGGGCAAGAAAGGCGCTGGCGTGCACGGAGCAGACAGGTGGCCTTTAGTCACCACATGTTCCCCAGGGGCCCCCACGCCATGCTAGGCAGAGGAGAGGCCTGTCCTGAGCCCCTTGGTGCTGGCAGTCGGGAAGGGGGGGTGGGTAGGCAACACAATGAACAAGTAACCCTGGGGGTAGTTGACAGAAACCACCTAGGAGGACATTTTAGAGCCAAGTTAAAAACCCTGGGCTTACATAAATAGAATCTGACACCAGCTCCTTTTCTGTCTATACATTATTTAATATCTATTAAATAAAATTATTTTTGGAATAAAAAAAATAAATAATAAAACCCTGGGCTTTCTCTTAAGGAAGGGCATCCCAGGCAGAAGGCCCAGCAGGGCCAAGTGCAGCTCTTCAGATACTGGCACCTTGGGGAAGGTGGGGCAGGCTACCCAGAGGAGGTGCGAGTCTGAGGCCCTCTCCCTATTTCCCCACGGGCTAGGCTCTCTTCTCCCCAGCAGCAAGTGTGGAAGGCAGCACCCTCAGCCCTCCCTTGGGTTTGGGTGTGAGTGGTACCAGGAGCCCTTCCTCAGGGTCTCGTCTTTGTGTCTCAGGGCAGATGAAGTCGGCCTGATCATGACCAACCTGGAGAAAGCTAATCAGGTGAGGAGGCGTGCCCTGGGCTGGCCAGGTGCCAGACAGGTGCCAGAGGCTCCCTCTGCCCTGGGGTGGGATTCCCAGGCAGGGAGGAAGGGGCTGAGCTTAATGTTCATTGACCTATGCACTGTGTGCCTGCTGAGTGGGAGACCAGAAGTATCTAGGACCCTGTTTCTGCCCTCTCCAAGTTCCTAGGACACAGTAGGGTGGAGTAGAGGGGTTACAGATAGACACACTGGAAAATAGAGTGATCCAGGCAGTGACAGATAGGAAGGGGACCTAACCCAGTCCACAGGCCTCCCAGAAGACGTCTTGGAGGAAGGAACCAGGAGCTGAGGCCTGAAGGATGAACAAGAAGATATAGAGATGGCTGGGGAAAGTTGGGTAGAGGCTGGGAGGGGGAGTCTGCAGAGAACTGCCTATCCTTTCCCGAGAGGCCCAGGGCAGTGACCCAGAGATCTCAGTCTACATGTACCCATTCCCCTGCTGAGCTAGGACAGTCGTCTCTCCCAAACACACTGAGTGCAGGAGCTGGGGATGGTGACAGGACCAACCAGAGGCTACTTCTCTCCCTCCCACCTGGGACCTCCTGCACCCTCCTCCCTCAATCCCAGCCATGCTACCTGAGTGCTAGGAGGACCCTCGGCCTTTCTTGGGGTCCCCATCTTCCAGCCCCAGGCTGGGCCCCCAGTGTCAGTATTCACACTACAAGTGAGGTTCCCTCATCCTGCCTTCTGGCTTCAGATGTGTCACCTTCTGGTGGTCAGAGTCAGGCAGGACTTGGAAAGGAGGCGAGCCACAATCATGGGGACTAAGCTGGAGTGTCACGTGCCTACCACATCTGTCACCCAGCTCCCTGCAATGCCCGCAGCTGGGGCAGGTCTAGCACAGCCCTGAGTCCTGTGTCTCTGGGCCTGTCTTCCTGCCTCTGGGGAAGAGAAGACACTTGCATACCCCAAGGTCCACAGGCCAGCCCCATAGCAGAGCAAGGCTCATTCTCCCAGGAGTAGTTAAGATGGTCTCGTGAACAACATGTTTTGTTTTTTTTTTTTTGGCCAGGGCTGGGTTTGAACCCACTACCTCTGGTATATGGGGCCAGCGCCCTACTCTTTGAGCCACAGGCACCACCCTTGGATGACATTTTGAAACAGAGTTTTAGAATCCTGGCAGTTTTGCCCTTGAAGAAGGGCTTGAAGAAGGGTATCCAGGCAGAAAGCACAGCAGGGACAAAGGCTCAAGGTGTGGCTCTGCCGGCACAGGGCAAGGGCAGCCCCTCCGGCAGAGGAAACCTGGATAAGAGGCTTAGTTCTGAGTCCGTGGGAAAATACCAAAGATGTAGGCCCAGCCTAGCCCACCATCCCCACTCCACAAGGGTGTGATTTCCAGCTGGCCCCCTGAGCTGGGCTGGCAGTACTGTGTCCCATGAACCCCAACCTTCACCCCCATAGGAGCAGTGCCTCCAGGAAGGTCAGGAAGCTCAGAGACAGGGCTGGGTTGTGGAGGTGGTAACCACATGGCTTTCCTGGGCTTAGCTCTAGCATGTTTTTCTGAAATGATCACAGGTTACATAGCATTTTTAGTTAGTTTTTTGAGTAGGTAATTGGTTTGCATAGTTCAAAACTCACATGTGTCCATATAAGCATATCCGGAAACTCTGTCTTTCATCTTGTTCCCCTCCCTACAAAGCAGCCTCTCTTACCTGTTTCGGAGTTCTCCCTCCAGAAATGGTTGATTCACTCACAAGCCTGTGAATATATCTATCTTTAACCCCTTTTTAAGACAAAACACTAACATACCATCTACACCATCCTGAACCTTACTTCTCTTCCACACATGTATCTTCGAGTTCATTCTGCATCAGTATAAAAAGCAGCTCCTTCTGTTTTCACAGCCACACTGTGGATGTACCATCATCTAACCTGGGGGCAGCAAACTTTCTGTAAGGGGTCAGAGAAGTGAATATTTTCAGCTTTGTAAGCCATGCTGTCTCTGTCAGGGTTACTCAAGGTTGCCATTAATAGTGCTCAAGTATAGGGTGGTGCCTGTGGCTCAGTGAGTAGGGCGCTGCCGCATATAACAAGGGTGGCGGGTTCAAACCCGGCCCCAGCCAAACTGCAGCAAAAAAATAGCCAGGCACTGTGGCAGGCTAATCCCAGCTACTCGGGAGGCTGAGGCAAGAGAATCGCCGAAGCCCAAGAGATGGAGGTTGCTGTGAGCTGTGACCCCATGGCACACTACCAGGGGCCACAAAGTGAGGCTCTGTCTCTTAAAAAAAAAATAAAAACAGTGCTCAAGTACAGACAATATGTAAAAAAAAAAAAAAATGAGCATGGCTGTGTTCCAATAAAACTTTATTCATAAGAATAGGCAGGAGTTGCTGACCCCTGGACTACCTAGTCCCTATTGATGAACATTTATGGTATTTCCAATGTTTTACCATAATAATTAATATTGCAATGAATTTCATACATGCACAAGCCACCATGAAGGGTAAATTCCTAGAACTGACATTGCTAGCAAAGAGTCTGTGCATTTATTATTTGGCAGATGTCGCCAAACTGCCCTCCATGAGGTTGTATCAATTTCTGTTCCCTCCAGCAGGGTGGCAGGAGGCCTGTTTTCCTATACCACCCCAGAACGGTGTATCAACTTTGGGCGCAAAAGAGATTATAGAATAGTTTGAATAGGAAGCACTTTTTCCTTTTTGTTTTTCAACTTTTAAGGCAAGTACTCAAGGAACCACGTTTAATAATGTTTCTTCTGGCAGCATCCGTAGCTCAGTGGGTAGGGCACCAGTCACGTACACCAAGGCTGGCATGTTCCAACCTGGCCTAGGTCAGCTAAAAAACAACAATGACAACTACAACAAAAAAAGAAATAGCCAGGCGTTGTGGCAGGTACCTACAGTCCCAGCTACTTGGAAGACTGAGGCAAAAGAATCACTTAAGCCCAAGAGTTTGAGGTTGCTGTGAGCTGTGACATTACGGCACTCTACCCAGGGCAACAGCTTGAGACTCTGTCTCAAAAATAATAATAATAATAATAGTAATATTTCATCTTGCTGAATATAAAATTAAAACCCACTTATAGAAAGGTATGTAGAAGAAAATAAATGTCACTCTATTAAGTTCTTAATATCTATATTAATACCATCCTAAATGTAAACACAAGGGTTCTAGAGTGGAACAGATCCTTGTTATTACTTACATAATAATAACTATGCACGTTTGTCCCAGTTCTTACCCCTAGAGGGACAAAAGCAGAACCAGGGTTTGTACTGAAGACCCCTTAATGAATCTGGGTGGTTGTGTACGAGGGAGACTTTCTGAGAAAAGCAGAGAAAGCTTCAGTGTCCCTAGTGTCTCAGTAGATAGAAGGACCAGAGTCTTGGCTTTTGGAATGTCAATACATCTCTACCAGGCAAGATAAGACTAGAAGTTTTCAAAATTCAGGTTTACCACCCTGGGGCTGCCTCTATAGCATGAAGCATATATTTCCAGAGAGAATAAACTCTCTGGAATTCTCACTAGCAAATCAGTCATGAGTTGACTTTCCAAGATTTGTCCTTTAAACCTAGATCTCAAGTTTCCAGAAAGCCCCTAACTGTGCAGAAACAAAAAATACTTTCTCTGTAGCCCCACATGCCCAAAAACCCTTCCCCAAAACAAAACCAACTTGTGCCATTTCTGGAAAAATGCAGGATACCAATAAATAAATAATAAAATAATTAAGTAAATTAAAATGTGAACATGAATGCATATGGGTCTCTGGATGCATGCAGTGGGGTTAGCATCTTGATTTTCAAGGTCAGCATGCAGTTAAAACATAATCACTGTGATCTGCTTCAGCAGCTGAGGGCAAAAATATGGCCCCAGCTCTTTTAATTTTCCAAGTAATGGCTCAAGTAATATACCCTGATGATGTTAATAAAGTTAACTGGCTATTGACACGTTCATATATGTCAGGCACCAAGCTAAGATATCCAACAAATTGCATTTTGCCAAATCACTTAATTTGCAAAACAAATTAGCTACAAGATAGTTGTTTTTATTTATTTTTTATTTGTTTAATTTTCTTTAAGAAACAGGGTTTTGCTCTGTCACCCAGGCTAGAGTGCAGTGGTTCAATCATAGCTCACTACAGCCTTGAACTCCTGAGCTCGAGGAATCCTCCTGCCTCAGCCTCCCAAAGTACTGGGATTGCAGGCATACGCTGCTGCGCTTGCCTGAATTCTTACCTTTAAACTAGCCAGGCCTGAAGTTTATGTGTCAGGCAGAAGTACCTAGAAATTGTGAAAACTTGCCATCCCACAAGACAGCTGGTCCCCTCCTACCCTCATGCTGCAGAAAGATTGGGGGCAGGGAGATGCTCACCTCCTGATCATGCTCACCCCTTCTTTTCCCCAGCGAGCTGAGGCTGCCCAGAGGGAGGTGGAAAGTCTGCGGGAACAGCTGGCCTCTGTCAACAGCTCCATCCGCCTGGCTTGCTGCTCCCCCCAGGGGCCCAGTGGAGTAAGGATGGGGTTGGGGAGGGGAGAGGGTGAGGGCAGAGGGAAAGATTGGGCAAAACCATGTTTAGGGATATGAACAGGTGGGTGACGATTTTGTAGTTGATAATGTGCATCTATGAAATTAGCAGCATGAGTGTGCGTGAGTCTCTGAGTGCATACAGTAGACATAGTGTCTTGTGAAGGTCAATGCAATTACTATGGCTTGTTTCACCTACCGAGGGTAAAAATACAGCCACAATTCTTTAAAACTTTCCAAGGGCAAGTTTCCATATACCTAAGGTATATGGAAGGAGGCCTAGTATCTTCCTCTGGAGACCTCCCTCACCCCTAGTTGTTCATGAATGCCAAGAACTTCGTTCCTGTTCCCAGATGCCCCTGCAAAGAAACCATGGAAAGTGAACTTGAGTAATACAGCAGCAGTGCTGTGTAGGTGACTACCACCAGGAGTGGTAGGAGTGGTAGCACCACCAGGTGGCACTGTTGAATACTAGTGTCACCCTGCTAGGTGAATACGGGATGGTGATGACCCTGCTGGTCTTTAATCCCTACCAGGACTGCAGTGGGGCCACATACCAAGAGCTGAAGCTCAACGCTCATATCCATTGGCTACCAGAACATGCCAGATAATTCCAGTGATTTCCCATATGAGCCACATGTTATAAAGAGCTAGTCTCCAGTCATCTGACCCTGAGGTTCCTGTGTTAAGCCAAGTTAAACAAGTCATTGCTTTTCTTTCTCCTGGTTCATGTCCCTGTGGGGTCCTGATGTCATTTCCTGCAAAGCTTTTTTAATCAGGGCCACCCCAACCTACCTTTCTGTCGTATATCAGCAGTCTCCATCCCAGCTATCACAGAAAGCCCTGAGTTCCCTATGAAAATAGGCTTGAGTTCTTTGCAGATCTCTGTATACCCAGGGATTAGATTCATGATTCCTTAAACAGGTCTTCTCCAGGGCAGTTTTCATTCTCTGCCCATGAATATGAATTGGCCAGCATAAATTCCACATCACCTGATGTCCTGATACATGGGCCCAGGTGTCTAGCTGTCTCTTTCTGTTAAACATCAGAATATGTCTCTACAAACGTGTTACTGTATATGTATGTGTCTACTTGTGAACTTTGGGCCAGTGACTATACACCTGATTTGAATATATCTCAGTTTCCTCATCTGTACACATAACACCTACCTTATAGGGCTATTGAAAGGATTACATGGAAAGGATCTAAAATGGTACGTGGGTCATAGTATGTGCTCAGTAAATACTTGATGCTACTATTAGTAGTAGTAGTAGCATATGTATATCTGGGGTGTTTTTGCCATGAAAGCACCTTTGAGTATACACATGTCTGTTTCCTAGTGACATGTCTATGTGAGTATGACTCCCGGATGCCTGTGTGTTTCTGTGTGTGGGCATATCAGCATAAATATTCAGGAAGGTCTGAGTTGTCGTGACTGTGTCCGTGTCAGACAGTGCGTGTCCATGTGCCTGGGTGATTACACAACCCAGAGAAACTGAACACAAGAAGATGTGAGGAGAGCGATCAAGAGCAAGAGAGCTCATGAGGACGCCTCCGAGAGGAATTCGCCAATGGTTCTTAATTAACCCCCGTGGAACCTAGCAAATGCCTGTGCTAATCAGCCACAGAGAACTTTGCTGGTTTGAGGGTCTACTTTTCTGAGCACAACAGTGGCGCTTGATGCTAATTAATTTAATGTATTAATGGCATCCGCTTCCTGTTTTAATTGGCACTTATCTCCATGGAAGAAAGCTGGCATTGGTATTAGTGGGTTGTTTTTGTGGGTTTTAGGTTTTTGGGTTTTTTTAAATGCTGCTTAGATTTATTTGTAACCGAGCCTGAGACCAGCCTGACTTCAAGTCAATCAAACAGCAACCTCTCCACTTCATCCAGGACAAAGGGGCCATTTCCTAAACCCTAGAGAAGCTGTGAGTCTTGGGGCTATCCACAAACAAGGAGGAGGCAGGAACTACCCATAATGTGGCCTATGGTTACATGGTCTCAGATCCAACCCTGATGGTCCTCTGGGTCCCTTATTACCTAGAATATAGACACTCCCTGGTTAGGCACTGGACCCACTTTAGAAACCCAAATATTTTTTTCTGTGCCTTTTCATCTGCTGCGAAAACCCATTCCCCACCACCCAGGTCCTTTCGTTGCTGTTACAATTTTTTAATAAGTGATTTAATCAAGAGTATAAGATACATAAGGAAAATGTACCTAAGTGTGCAGCACATTGAATTTTGCAATGTGAACACACCCCACACCAGCATCCAGATCAATAAATTCTCATTCTGCTTGGGATTCAGTGGTGGGGAGGCTCCCCCATGGACTTTTATCCCACACCTCTCAGCCCCTCAAAGCCCCTCTTTGCCCTCAGGATAAAGTGAACTTCACGCTGTGCTCAGGGCCCCGGCTGGAGGCTGCCCTGGCCTCCAAGGACAGGGAGATCCTACGGCTGCTGAAGGATGTACAGCACCTCCAGAACTCTCTACAGGAGCTGGAGGAGACCTCTGCCAACCAGATCGCAGACCTGGAGCGGCAGCTCACAGCCAAGTCTGAGGCCATAGAGGTAGGTCTTAGGGGAGGAGGTGGACAGGTGGGAGACAAGTGGGCATCCATTGGGAGAAGGACAGCCCTGGCTGGTCCTCTAAGCACATAGACCAGCCTCACTGTCTTTCTTTGTTCTTCTAGAAGCTGGAAGAGAAGCTCCAGGCACAATCTGACTATGAAGAAATTAAAACAGAACTGAGGTACTATGCAGAGTGGGGGTCTACAGATCCCTTCTCCCCACCCCATGCTTCTTCCCTGGCCAGGTGACATTAAAGAAACAGTAAGGGCCTTTGGCAAAGTTCACCATCTTCCTTCCTCCCACTAGGCCCCACTCTTGTCTCCTCTCTACTGATACATTGGCTATCAAAACTCAGGCCAGGAGCAGGGGCTCACACCTATAATCCCAGTACTTTGGGAGGCCAAGGCAGGAGGATTGCTTGAAGCCAGGAGTTCAAGATCAGCCTGAGCAGCATAATTTGATCCCATCTCTACCAAAAAGTTTTAAAAACTAGCTGGGTTTGGTGACATGTACCTGTCGTCCCAGCTACTTGGGAGACTGAGGCAGAAGTATCATTTGACCAGAAGAGTTTGCAGCTGAGTGACCTATGATTATGCCTCTGCGCTCCAGCCTGGGTGACAGAGCGAGACCTTGTCTCTAACTAAAATCACCCTCAGCCCTTTTCATCAAGAGCTCCCTGTAGGTGAACCTGTGAGGGAGAGGTAGCCTTCTTGTTACGGGTGTGGTAACTTGGGGATGACTTGTTAAATACATAAACTCAAGCCAACCAGTGTGGGGCCAGGCCAGGCTGCAGCCCTCCAGGTAACATCACCTATTAATGAGTCTGTCGTGGCAGCAAGTGCAGAAACACGTGGGCTCCTGGGGATGGGGATGGGCGCAGTTCCAACTCAGGGAAGGGGAGCAGGTCTGTGCCTCTGGCAAGGCCTTTCCTCTGGCCCAGGGGCCCCAGCTGAGCTTAGACCTGCTCACTGTCTCCGGCAGCATCCTGAAGGCCATGAAGCTGGCGTCCAGCACCTGCACCCTCCCCCAGGTGAGAGTCCCATCATTGTCCCCACAGGGTGGGCTGCCTGGACACCCTTCTACCAGCACACCCTCACAGCTTTGCACCTTGTCTCCCTAGTGCTTGGCCAAGCCCGACGACTCACTGCTCATGGCAAAGGAGGCCTTCTTCCCTGCACAGAAGTTCCTCCTGGAGAAGCCGGGTCTTCTGGCCAGCCCTGGTAGGGGAGGAGAGATGCTCCCAGAGCTAAGGGGCTGGGTGAGGGCTGACGTGGGTCTCTGGACTGCTCCCACCCTAAGATCACCACCTTCCATGCAGCCAGGAGAGCTATAGAGTGAGGGGTTGGACATCAATTGAGCACTTACTGTATGCCGGTCCCCCAGGTGTCACCTCCATGGCCACACTCAAGATCACATAGTTCACTTAGGCCACAAAGGGCCCTACTAACCCTGTCCCTTCCCAAGCAGTGGGGACTTTTCCTGAAGAGGACAGAGGAGGACACAGGGGCATCCACCTCATACCCTATATGTCTGACTGCTGGGAATAGCCAGCAGACATTTCTTGTCTCCCAAAATTACCTTCTCAGCCCTTCACCCTTTCTCCCCACATAGTAGCTCCATGACTTTTTAGCCTTGTGACCCCAGGCAAGACTGTGCTCCCTCTATTTCTTCATCCGTGGGGCCCATGTCATAGGAGTCATTAGCAGGAGCCTCTGAGGACAGGATGGGGTAGGCACAAGGCACCTGGACAGTACTTGGGCAACACTTGACTATAGGAGGGGATGTTCCAGAACCAGCATTTGGATGGGCCTGGAAGGTTGGGGCTTGGAAATGAGGGAGAGTGTATGTGCAGAAACAGCCTTTGATGGCCCTTCAGCTGTGGCCTCCTGTAGCATCTATCCCCACCCCCTCCCATTTCTCCTCCTCTTCCTCCCACCCTTTTTCTGAGTTTCTGTCTCTACCCATGTGTCTCTCTGTCTCTCCATTTCTGTCTCTCCTGCTCTCTCTGTGTGTCCCTGTCTCTCTCATTGTTTCTCCATCTCTCTCTTTTTCTCTATCACTTTGTCTCATCTCTGTCTCTTACATGACCTTTCTATCTCTGTTTCCCCATCTTTGTCTCTCATTGTTTCTTTCTCTCTGTCTCTCTCCCCATTATTTGTCTATCTCTGTCTCGGTGTTCTAGAGGAAGATCCTTCAGAGGACGATTCCATCAAGGACTCGCTGGGCACAGAGCAGTCCTACCCCTCCCCGCAGCAGCTCCCACCTCCCCCAGGGCCTGAGGACCCCCTATCCCCCAGCCCTGGGCAGCCCCTTCTGGGACCAGGCCTAGGGCCTGATGGCCCACGGACTTTCTCACTGTCCCCCTTCCCTGGCCTGGCCCCAGGGGAGAGACCAATGATGCCCCCGACCACCTTTAAGGGAGAGACAGGCAGCCTGCTGCCATTCCCTCCTGCCTTCTATGGCACCAAGCCCCCCACAGCCCCAGCCACCCCAGCCCCTGGCCCTGAGCCACCTGGGGGCCCTGAACCTTCAGACAGTGGTGGGGGCAGCATGGCCGGGACTGGTACAGAAGAAGAACAGCTGGACACGGCAGAGATCGCCTTTCAGGTGAAGGAGCAGCTACTCAAACACAACATTGGGCAGCGGGTGTTTGGGCACTATGTGCTGGGGCTGTCGCAGGGCTCAGTCAGTGAGATCCTGGCCCGGCCCAAGCCCTGGCGCAAGCTCACAGTGAAGGGCAAGGAGCCCTTCATCAAGATGAAGCAATTCCTGTCAGATGAGCAGAACGTGCTGGCCCTGAGGACCATCCAGGTGCGGCAGCGAGGTGAGAGCAGGGCAAGAGCCCATCCCTGTGCAGGGCTCAGGCCCAGCCATCACCACCAGGTCCAGGACACAGAGGCTGGGAGCCAAGGGCACAAGCTCTAGGTTCAAAGCCCAGCTCCACTGCCAGCCAGCTGTGCAACTAGATCATAACCTTGCCTCTCTGAGCCTAAGTTAAACCTTGCCTCTCTGAGCCTCAGTTACCCCTCGTATAAAAGAAGAAAATATATCCTCACCCCTCCTTCCCAGGGCCTGACTCTCCTGGCTCCCACCCAGCGCCCGCAGCTTGGGCGAGGAAGGTGGGAAAAGACCTCCAAGCTTCAGCTCACCAGTTTGTGAGATGGCCTGAGTGACCACCAGCCTGGCCGGACTGGGCCCTTAGGGTAATCAGTATGAAGGGTCCTGTCTTTGACCTCACAAACACCTGAATTTGAATCCCAGCTCTGACATTCACATATTGGGTGACCTTAGACAACCCACTTCAGCTGCCCTGTGCCTCAATTTCCCCATCTGGCTGCCTCGTGGCATTGTCATGAAAATTAAATGGGAATAAAGCACTGACTAGAACCACTGGCACATGGTAACTGCTTAAGAACTAGTAGTTGTGGTGGTCGTGATTGTCGTCATCATCTCTGTAGGTCCATAGTTTGTCACACTCAAACTAAGTGGTGGCCTTGCCACACTCACTGATGGTCTGACCCTCACTCTCCTAGCACCTGTAGGAAGGAGGGGAACAGGCCCCACCCCACCCAGCTCTAGTGACAAGCCCCCAGGGCACAGATCCTTTGACAGATGCCTTCTTGCCTCCCCCAGGCAGCATCACCCCAAGAATCCGCACACCGGAGACAGGTTCGGACGATGCCATCAAGAGCATCCTAGAGCAAGCCAAGAAGGAAATTGAGTCACAGAAAGGAGGTGAGTGTGGCTGTGGCCGATCAGGTGGCAGGGTCCCAGGGCCCACTTAGAGCAGTAGGTGAGGCTTACTGCAGAGGAATAGACAAAGGATTAGGGTTAGGTTCAGAACCTCCAGAGGGATCTTTCTAGGCCACACATATGGTCATGGTGCTCCCCATGCCATGGCTCCCCACTGCCCTCAAGATAAAATCCCAACTCCTCAGCAAGGCCTCCAGGGCCCTGTGTCCCTCAGACCCCTCCTAACCCCTTCCCCTTTCACGTGGACTGTTCATAGTCAAGCCAGCCTTGGTGACCATCCCTTGTGCCTTACCCCAAGCACCTTTCACATGGCTGACTCTGACTCGTACCTTACGACTCAGAAATCACCTCCTTAGCTTGGCACCTGTGGCTCAAGTGGCTAAGGCACCAGCCACATACACCTGAGTTGGTGGGTTCCAGTCCAGCCTGGGCCTGCGAAACAACAATGACAGCTGCAACCAAAAAATAGCTGGGCATTGTGGTGAGTGCCTGTAGTCCCAGCTACTTGGGAGGTGGAGGCAGGAGAATCACTTGAGCCCAGTAGTTGGAGGTTGCTGAGAGCTGCGATGCCACGGCACTCTACCCAGGGTGATAGCTTGAGACTCTGTCTCAAAAAAAAAAAAGAAAAAAGAAATCACCTCCTTTAGGAAGCCCCCCACCTCCATCTAGACAGATTGGATGCTGCCCTTCCTCAGTCCTCCCATAATTAACTATATGCTCAGTGCAGTGGAGTCAGACTGGCTACAAATTCTAGCTCTGCTATTTATTAGCTGTGTGACCTTGAGCAAGTTACTTAGCCTCTCTGTTCCTTCATCCTCTCATCTTTAAAGTGGGGACAGCATTAATGTTCTTAAGGTTATATGAGATTTTAATTAAATGAAATCAGGCCTGGCACATGGAAGATACTCCTAAAAGAATAGTCGTCATTAGAGTGAATATTATTGTTACAGTCTGCATTGTTACAAATGAATCTGCGTCCCTCCAACTGGTCTTGGGACTTCTTGCAGCCAGGGGCCAAGTTGCATTCTCACTGAGCACAGGGTTGCTGACACTGGCCACTGCTGACTTAGAAGGCAGAAACTGACTTTAATGCTCTGCTCCATTTTGCAGTGTCTGCTGCCCCCTGGTGCCTGCTCAGAATAGGTGTCCTGATTCCCAACCTGCCTGGGCTGGCTGCTGGGAACTGCCTAGTGTCCTAGGGGCCCTCCCTCCTGTCTGATCCCTGGCAGGGGATGGGGGACAAGGGACTTAACCTGCCAGGAGCCTACACTGTCCCACCTGTGTACTCTCCTGAGCCCCTACAGTGTATGCTTTCTTCCTTCTTGGTCAGCTTCAACAGCAAGAGAGATGTAAGACGGAGATGTAATCAGGCACTAAACATTTATTAAACACCTACTGCATGCTAGATGCAGGTTACAGATCTGGGTGAGACATGATATTGGGGTGAAAAGAACTATGAGAAGCAATCTAGTCTAACTTTCCTACTAAAGAAACAGGAAAACAGAGGCCAGAGAGGGAAGTTCACATGAGTTCCCAGTTAAACAGAGACAGATGGAAACCCCAGGTCTCCTGACCCCTTATGTAGTGCTTTCCCCCAGGGGTCACAAATAGGCAGCAGGGGGAAATATATAGGCGATATCACAGCAGAGGAAAATGTTTTCCACAAGTGGCCCAGCTAGCGGGTTTGCATCCAGGGTCTGCAAAGAGTTCAGTAAGAGTAAAAAATGCCAACACTACTATGCTATGGCCCCGGCAAAAGCCAGCACGAAGCAGAAGGCATGGTAGCAGCCCCCAGATAAGGAAAGGAGTGAGGTTGACTGCTAACTCGGGAGTTCTGCTTCTGGAATTGGAAAGAAATGTCCAGAATGAGCCCAGAGATTTATATACAAGCTGTTATTGTATTATTATTTACAACAGTAACAAACTAGAAACAACTTAAGTGTCCAAGCAGTGGGGGATTTACCATTGCCCAGTCAAGATAAAAGAAGTTGGCTTGGCGCCTGTGGCTCAAGTGGCTAAGGCGCCAGCCACATACACTTAAGGTGGCAGGTTCAAATCCCCAGCCCGGGCCCGCCAAACAACAATGATGGCTGCAACCAAAAAATGGCCAGGCGTTGTGGTGGGTGCCTGTAGTCCCAGCTACTTGGGAGGCTGAGGCAGGAGACTCGCTTGAGCCCAGGAGTTGGAGGTTGCTGTGAGCTGTGATGCCATGGCACTCTACCCAGGGGGATAGCTTGAGGCTCCGTCTAAAAAAAAAAAAAGATAAAAGAAGTTAGTTCGAGCAGGAGCAAAACCCTGTCTCTAAAAATAGCTGGGTATTGTGGCACACATCTATAGTCCCCACTACTTATGGGGCTGAGGCAAGAAGATCACCTGAGCCCAAGAGTTTGAGGTTGCTGTGAGCTATGACGCCACAGTGCTCTACCAGGGGTGACAAAGTGACAAAGAAAAAAGATAAAAGAATTTTTAGTGATTGGAAAAAATGCTCATGTCAGTACTAAGTGTGGACAAAACCAGGCTAAGCTTTCATATATCAAGTCTGATCATACTGTGCAGGTAGTTGAGAAAACAGACTGGAAGGAATGCATGAGAAGACTTCATGTGGTTGCTTCTGGGAAGGCGAGATTAGGGGAACTTTTATTTTTATCTGAACTTTTTGTACTCTCCACAATAGGTAGCAAGTATGACTTTTTTTTTTTTGAGGTAAAATTCATCTAATATAAAATTAACATGTTTTTTAAAGACAAGATCTTGCTTTGTTGTCTAGGCTAGAATGTAGTGGTTCAATCCTAGCTCACCATAACCTTGGAAAATTAATAGTTTTAAATTAAAGTGTATGGGCCAGGCACAGTGGCTCACACCTGTATTCCTAGCACTTTGGGAGGGCAAATCAGGAAGCCAAATCGCTTGAGGCCAGGAGTTCAAGATCAGCCTGGGCAACATACGAAGACCCCATCTCACAAAAAATTTAAAAATTAGCCAGGCATAGTGGCTCATGTCTGTAATCCCAGCTACTCTGGAGGCTGAAGTGGGAGAATTGCTTGAACCAAGGAGTTCGTTCAAGGAATAAACCAAGGAGCCTGGGTGACAGAGAGAGATCCTATCCTGTAAAAACAAAATAAAGTATACAATTCATTGTCATTTAGTGCATTCACAGTGTTATGTAACCATCATCTCTGTCTAGTACCAGACATTTCCATCACCCCAAAAAGGAAAGCACATAAGTAAGTAGTCATTCTCCGTTCTACCTTCCCCCGTGGGACCCACTAATCTCCATTCTGGTTTGGGGAGGGAGTTTTGTTTGGTTTTTTTTGTTTGTTTCGAGATAATTTCACTCTGTCACGCTGGAGTTGAGTGTCATGGTGTCATCATAACCCACAGCAACCTCAAAGTCTTGGGCTCAAGCGAACCTCATCCCTCAGCATAGCTGGGATTACAAGTGCCTGCCACACACTCAACTGATTTTTTCTATTTTTAGTAGAGTTCGGGTCTTGCTCTTTCTCAGGCTGGTCTTGAATTCGTGAGCTCAAGAAATCCACCCAACTCAGCCTCCCAGAGTGCTAAGATTACAGGCATGAGCCACTTCGCCGGGCCTTAACTTGTATTCTGCTTCTGTGGATTAACCTATTCTGGACATTTCGTGTAAATAGAATCATGTCTAGTGTTTTTCCTCAGCATGTTTTCAAGATTTATCCATGTTGTAGCAAGTATCAATACTTCATTCCTTATTATGATTAAATGATGTATCACTGCTGTATTTTTTTTCTTTGAAACAGGGTCTCTGTTGCCCAGACTGTGTGTCCTAATAATAGTGCCCTAATAATAGCTCACTACAGCCTTAAACTCCTGAGCTCAACTGATCCTCCCCTTATGAGTATCTCACCTGGCTGTATTACTTTTTTAATTGGAAAAACAATAAAATTTTTTTTTTTTTTTTTTGAGACAGTCTCACTTTCTCGCCCTCGGTAGAGTGCCATGGCAGCGTCACACTGCTTACAGCAACCTCCAGCTCTTGGGCTTAGGTTAAGGTGACCAAATTTTTTTTTTTTGAGACAGAGCCTCAAGCTGTCCCCCTGGGTAGAGTGCTATGGCATTACAGCTCACAGCAACCTCCAACTCCTGGGCTCAAG